CAGGGGCCCCCCGCCATCCCCCGCTCGCCACCGGGGGACACTAACAGGAAGCCCCCCCTTACCCACCGGGACTGCAAAAACCACCACCGGGGAAAAATTGGCACCCATCCCCCCGGGTTTCGAAACCCCACCTTTCCCAAAAGGATGCCGTAAACCCATCCCGCCGGGATCCCCCCAAGCCCCCGGGCTTTCCCCCGGGACTCCAGACGCCGTCCCCTTTTCATCATTCCAGAGTGGGCCCCTTTGCATCATCCCCAGACGCCTTTCCCCTGCACCCACCCCCAGACGAGTCCCCTTTGAAATTCACCCCCGGGACGCCGTGCCACAAAAAACTCACCCCCGCCAGCCTCGCACCCACGGACTGAAAATTGCCAGTGCAAAACCCAAAGCCGCCCATCACTTAAATTCCCCTCCTACGATGGCACAAAATGCCCCTTGCCACGACGTGACGATCTCCGCATCATCACCCCCTGATAGGGAAACCTTCACCCCCCCTGTTTGCCGCCCCCGATCACTCTAACATGCCACCTCCTCACTCCTCCTCGTTTTTCCTCTCCTCCATTCCCAAAATTGCCTCCCATCTACCCAAAACACCCTTTATTGCCCCCTTCACTTTTCCCTTCTCCCCACCTCCCCTTTTACTCCACCCTCCCGTTTGACCCCAGGGCCCCCCCAAATTTAAAACGGGCCCAATGGGCCCTGCAAAATCTCTTTCCCCTTCCCCAAACCTTCACCCTTCTCCTAACCCCTGACATCCTCCTTGACCCTGGCCCCCACCTCCCTACTCCCCCTCTAGGCACCCTCTGCTCCCACCAGCCGCCGAAATAACCCCCTCAAACCTCATACCGTCCCCCTCCTCCCCGCATCACTCCTCCTGAACGCTTCCGCTTGGTTTGACAACAAGTCACCGCATCCACGACCTCTTTGTCTCCACTCCCTTATCTGCTAGCGTATCACAAAAACTGGATCAAAGCACTGACTCACCTCCCCTGCAGCACTCACCTTGGAGGCCTCTTCTGGATACTCACTCACACGAGTGGTCGCAGAGGCGGCCAGGGTCGGCCCATGCACCTGTCAACCGACTGAGCCACCTTCCAGGCCCCACTCCTAACCCCCCCTCCTTAACCTTCTCCTTCCTTCGAGGGCCCACTGCATCTGGCTCTTCTCCCTCCCACCCCCGGAGGATTGCAGTAATTCTACTTGGCCTCCTGGGTTTCCGTATACCGCTCTTCATGGGGGAAAATGACTTTGCTGGCCTACTTTCCCTTCTTCCTCTCCTCTGAGCTACTGACCATCATCCTCAGGGGATTTCAACATCCCCATCAACTCCAACACAACCTGGCTACTCTCCCAACTCGCCTCCTCCTAACCTCCTCACACAGCACACAAAGTCCTCCACCCACCCCCAATGGGAACACCCTGGACCTTCATTTTCTCCCACCTCTGCACCCCCACGACCTCACACTAACACCCCCTTCCCCCTCTCTGGACACCCCATCTCCTCACCAATTCATCCATCTCCCCCTCCTCTAACTCTCCCCCCCAAAGAGGTCAAACATCTCACCTAGCCGTAACCCTCCGCAACCTGAACCCTGCCCATCTCCACCCGGCAGCTGGACCGTCTGTACGTGTCAGGAATGGACTGGCCAGCAATGGTGGGGACTCACCTGCCTTTTGATCTGCAGTACCAGGGCTGGCCAGCGGGTGCTCCCAGCAATCAAAGACTCAACCTTTCAGCCAGCTAACACCTGGAACTGATGATACTGGTGTATTTAAGGGATGGCCAGACTTGCAGACTCTGCATTGGTGTTGTGTTTGCTCCTGGGCCCTGTATCTGTCCTGCATCCTGTTTCTGTTCCTTTGCTACCTGTTTCTGATCCCTGGCTTGTGACCTGACCATCCCTCTGCCTGACCCTCTGTATACGCTGCTTGCTAACCTGTTCTGATCCCCTGGCTTGTGACCTGACCATCCCTCTGCCTGACCCTCTGTACTTACGCTGCTTTGCTACTGCTGAACTGGCCTGTGACCCCGACCATTCTCAGCTTGCTCCCCCTGTACCTACCTGCCAATTGATATTGACTCGGCCTGCCGCCTGACGACGCTTGTTTGTATGTTACTGTTATCTGTGGGTGGTTGGGTTGGGTTTGTTTGCACTGTATTATGTTTAGTATTGCACTGCGTTTTATGTTTGTATTGTTAGTGTTAATAAATTACATTGTTAAATCACATATCTGAAGTCTGCGTTTCCCTCTGCTTTTTTCAGTCACACTACCTCTGGTCATTACCTGGGAGCCCTGACATTACACCAAGGCCAATCCTGACCAGAAGTGGCTGCACAGGGAAGCCATCTTGGCTTGTTGATGGGAAGGATGGATTCTTGAGGAGGTTTGAGTATTTATATCTGCTATGTGTTTGATGACAGGGAGTATGCTTATCAAACTCTGAAGGAGTATCCCGGGATGAACTGCTAGAATGTATACGGCTTTCGCTCATGTTCTAGTAGATCAGGGCACAGAGTTCTCTGAGGTGCAGCCTTTGAATTGAGGTTTGTGCTGAGTTGGTTTCATCTGGTTCCCCCGAATGCAGGGATGAATTTTTTGCCACCATTTAGTGCAGACCCAGGTAGAGTCCATGGCTGGTGTGGTTATTAGAGGATGATGTGGGTTACTTTCTGGAGCGTTATTCCACATGTTCACCACAGACACTGAGAGATTGTATAAACGCAGTGCAGTCATTGGACCAGACAGACTTTGTGTAAGCTCCAGCTTTGTTCAACCCTACTGCAGACATGGACAGACAGACTTGTTGGCACCCCAGCCTCAGTCAGCTTACAAAGACCAGTCCTGCTTCTAAACGTCTACTCCTGTATTCCCACCCAGCTCCTCCCAGTTTACAGCCCAGTAATACTTGGCTATCTACCGCCCATGTGTCAGTACCCTGTTCCCACTCGCATGGCACCTATCCCCCTGCCTTTAACCCTGTAAAAAAGCCCTCTGTAGCAACTGCTCCCATCTCCTGTTCCATCCTCCAGTTTTTCTTCTCTGTCTCCTAGCTGCTCCATTCGTTTGCAGACCTGCGTTTACTTGCAGTGCTCCCGTAGTTAAAACCAGAAAAAAAAGCGAAAATTCTTTCCAACCAAAATACCATCCTGCCAGTAGTCCAAACCGTGTGAGCCTGCCTTCCGTGGTTCAGCCTGAAGCCTCTACTCATCGGCCTGAAGCCTCTACTCGGCCTGAAGCCTCTACTCGGCCTGATGCCTCTACTCGCCTGATGCCTGGTAGCAGCCTGAAAATGCCTCTCTTCAGCCTGATGCCGGTACGCAGCCTGATGCCTAAGCTTTGATCTTCAGCCTGATGCATCTCTACTCGCCCTGATGCCTCTACTCGGCCTGAAGCCTCTTACTCGCCTGATGCCTCTACTACTCGGCCTGATGCCTCTACATCGGCCTGATGCCTCTCTCTCGCTGATGCTCTCCTCGGCCTGAATGAAGCCTCTACTCGGCCTGATGCTCTACTCGGCCTGAAGCCTCTACTCGGCCTGATGCCCTCTACTCGGCCTGAAGCCTCTACTCGGCCTGATGCCTCTACTCGGCCTCTACTCGAAGCCTCTACTCGGCCTGAAGCCTCTACTCGGCCTGATGCCTACTCGGCCTGAAGCCTCTACTCGGCCTGATGCCTCTACTCGGCCTGATGCCTGTACTCGGCCTGATGCCTGTACGCAGCCTGATGCCTCTCTTCAGCCTGATGCCTGTACGCAGCCTGATGCCTCTCTTCAGCCTCATGCCGGTACGCAGCCTGATGCCTCTCTTCAGCCTGATGCCTGTACGCAGCCTGATGCCTCTCTTCAGCCTGATGCCTCTACTCGGCCTGATGCCTCTACTCGGCCTGATGCCTCTACTCGGCCTGAAGCCTCTACTCGGCCTGAAGCCTCTACTCGGCCTGATGCCTCTACTCGGCTGAAGCCTCTACTCGGCCTGAAGCCTCTACTCGGCCTGATTGCCTCTACTCGGCCTGATGCCTCTACTCGGCCTGAAGCCTCTACTCGGCCTGATGCCTCTACTCGGCCTGATGCCTCTACTCGGCCTGAAGCCTCTACTCGGCCTGAAGCCTCTACTCAGCCGGACGCCGGCATTCAGCCTGATGCCTCTACCCAGCATGATGAACTGATCCAGCCTGACGATCCTATTAGGCCAGTTGACTCGATGCCCGCTGTTGATCCAGATGATCCGGTACCTGATCCGGTGCCCGCTGTCGTGCCATTGACTCAGAGCCCCCTGTCGTACCTGGTGACTCTGTGCCCACTGCCTTGCCAGATGACGCGGTGCCCGCTGGCGAGCCAAATGACCTGATGCTGGTGACCCAGTGCCGCTGTCATACCTGGTGACCCGATGCCGCTGTCGAGCCAGACGATCCAATGCCTGGTGACCCGGTGCCCCACTGCCTTGCCAGATGACGCAGTGCCCGCTGGCAAGCCAAATGACCTGATGCCTGGTGACCCAGTGCCCGCTGTCATACCTGGTGACCCGATGCCTGCTGTCGAGCCAGACAATCCGGTACCTGATGACCCGGTGCCCACTGTCGTGCCTGTTGACTCGGAGCCCACTGCCTTACCAGATGACGCGGTGCCCGCTGTCGAGCCAAATGACCTGATGCCTGGTGACCCGATGCCCGCTGTCCAGCCAGACGATTCAATGTCTGCCCCAGTGCCCCGCGGTCATGCCAGTTGACTCGGAACCCACTGCCTTGCCAGATGACGCGGTGCTCGCTGTCAAGCCAATGACTTGATGCCTGGTGACCCGATGCCCGCTGTCCAGTCAGACGATCCAATGTCTGACCCAGTGCCCGCGGTCATACCAGTTGACTCGGAGCCCACTGCCTTGCCAGATGATGCGGTGCCCGCTGTCGAGCCAAATGACCTGATGCCTGGTGACCCGATGCCCGCTGTCGTGCCAGACGATCCAATGTCTGACCTAGTGCCAGCGGTCATGCCAGTTGACTCGGAGCCCACTGTCGTGCCTGGTGACTCGGTGCCCGCTGCTCCGCCTGGGGGCCCGAGACCTGTCGCTCCGCCTGGGGGTCCAGCGCCCGCCGCTCCACCTGGGGGTCCGGCGCCCGCCGCCCCGCCTGGGGGCCCGAGACCTGTCGCTCCGCCTTGAGGGCCCGAGACCTGTCGCACCGCCTGGGGGTCCGGCGCCCGCCGCTCCGCCTGAGGGCCCGAGACCTGTCGCTCCACCTGGGGGTCCGGCGCCCGCCGCTCCGCCTGAGGGCCCGAGACCTGTCGCTCCACCTGGGGGTCCGGCGCCCGCCGCTCCGCCTGAGGGCCCGAGGACCTGTCGCTCCATCTGGGGGTCCGGCGCCCGCCGCTCCGCCTGAGGGCCCGAGACCTGTCGCTCCGCCTGGGGGCCCGAGACCTGTCGCTCCACCTGGGGGTCCGGCGCCCGCCGCTCCGCGCCTGAGGGCCCGAGACCTGTCGCTCCACCGGGGGGTCCGGCGCCCGCCCGCTCCGCCTGAGGGCCCGAGACCTGTAGTTCCGCCTGGGGGTCCGGCGCCCGCCGCTCCGCCTGGGGGCCCGATGCCTGTCGCCCCACCTGGGGGCCCGATGCCTGTCGCCCCGCCTGGGGGCCCGATGCCTGTCGCTCCACCTGGGGGTCCGGCGCCCGCCGCTCCGCCTGAGGGCACGAGACCCTGTCGCTCCACCCGGGGGTCCGGCGCCCGCCGCTCCGCCTGAGGGCCCGAGACCTGTAGTTCCGCCTGGGGGCCCGATGCCTGTGCGCCCCGCCCGGGGGCCCGAGGCCTGTCGCCCCGCCCGGGGGCCCGAGGCCTGTCACCCCGCCCGGGGGCCCGAGGCCTGTCACCCCGCCCGGGGGCCCGAGGCCTGACACCCGCCCGGGGGCCCGAGGCCTGTCGCCCCGCCCGGGGGCCTGGTGCCTGCGCTCCGCCCGGGGGCCCAGGTGCCTGCCGCTCCGCCCGGTGGCCCAGCTGCCTGCCGCTTCGCCTGGTAGCCCGATGTGCCTCTGCCCGGGTCCTGCCCGATGTGCCTCTGCCCGGAGTCCTGCCCGATGTGCCTCTGCCCGGAGTCCTGCCCGATGTGCCTCTGCCCGGAGTCCTGCCCGATGTGCCTCTGCCCGGAGTCCTGCCCGATGTGCCTCTGCCCGGAGTCCAGCCCGATGTGCCTCTGCCCGGAGTCCAGCCCGATGTGCCTCTGCCCGGAGTCCAGCCCGATGTGCCTCTGCCCGGAGTCCAGCCCGATGTGCCTCTGCCCGGAGTCCAGCCCGATGTGCCTCTGCCGGAGTCCAGCCCGATGTGCCTCTGCCCGGAGTCCAGCCCGATGTGCCTCTGCCCGGTGTGGCTCTGCCCGGTGTGCCTCTGCCCGGAGTCCAGCCCGATGTGCCTCTGCCCGGTGTACCGCTGCCAGAGTCCTGCCCGGTGTGCCAGTCTTTGATATCCCGCCAGTTACCAGACCCGGGCGGTGGAACATTTTTCCCAGCTAGGACTGTTTGGAGCGTCCTGAGGCCGCTCCTTGAGGGGGGGGGGGGGTACTGTCAGGAATGGACTGGCCAGCAATGGTGGGACTCACCTGCCTTTTGATCTGCAGTACCAGGGCTGGCCAGCGGGTGCTCCCAGCAATCAGAGACTCAACCTTTCAGCCAGCTAACACCTGGAACTGATGATACTGGTGTATTTAAGGGATGGCCAGACTTGCAGACTCTGCCTTGGTGTTGTGTTTGTCCTGGGCCCTGTATCTGTCCTGCATCCTGTTTCTGTTCCTTTGCTACCTGTTCTGATCCCTGGCTTGTGACCCTGACCATCCCTCTGCCTGACCCTCTGTACTACGCTGCTTGCTACCTGTTCTGATCCCTGGCTTGTGACCCTGACCATCCCTCTGCCTGACCCTCTGTTCTACGCTGCTTGCTACCTGCTGAACCTGGCCTGTGACCCCGACCATTCTTCGCTTGCTCCCCCTGTACCTACCTGCCCAATTGATATTGACTCGGCCTGCCTGACGACGCTTGCTTGTATGTACTGTTATCTGTGGGTGGTTGGTTGGGTTTGTTTGCACTGTATTATGTTTAGTATTATCACTGCGTTTATGTTTGTATTGTTAGTGTTAATAAATTACATTGTTAATCACTTATCTGAAGTCTGCGTTTCCCTGCTTCAGTCACACACCTCTGGTCATACCTGGGAGCCCTGACAGTACGATAGTATCCTTCCTCTGTCATGCCCTGACCTGGCCACTACTGCGTATAACGACTCGCTGTCAGCTGCCCTAGACTCCCTGGCACCTCTAACCACACGTTAACATCAGACCCCGACCGCGCTCAACCCTGGCAGAACAACCATACGAAATGTCTCAAACGACGCAGTCGCGTGCTGGAGCGATTATGGTGCAAAACCAGATCCCCTCGTGCGTTCTACCTCTACAAAGCCGCCTTCCTCACCTACACCTCCTCCCTCCACGCCGCCAAGCAAGCCTATTTCGTTAACCTCATCAACACCCTCTCCACCTATCCTCGCCGGCTCTTCTCCACTTTCAAATCCTTGCTCTCTCCCCCCCCACCTCCACTCAGTACCTCACTCACCGCCCACGAGATTGCCAATCATTTCCAAAACAAGATTGATGCAATCCATAAGGACATTGTCAACTCACAATCTACCTCTCCACCTTGCCCCCCCCCATCACCCCCTCAACTCTCCCCTTCTCCGACCTCATACCCGCACTGCCCCCCCATACCTAACACCCTGCACACTATCACCTCCCCATCGCTCCGCTCCTTCAGCCCAGCTACCACTGAGGAGGTCACTAAGGTCTTCACTGAAGTCCGCCTCACCACTTGCCCCCTGGACCCTATCCCCTCACAGCTCCTCCATTCACCCCCTCCTCCATCATTCGCTCCCTCACCCACATCTTCAATCTCTCCCTCTCCACTTGCACATTCCCCTCCCCTCTAAAGCACGCACATATCACCCCCATACTCAAAAAACCCTCCCTTGACCCCACTGACCCAAACAACCTTAGACCCATCTCCCTGCTACCATTCACTTCCAAGCTCCTTGAGCGCTTGGCCTACAATCGCCTAAGCGCCCACCTCACTGATAACAACCTCCTTGATCCACTACAGCCAGGCTTCCGTCCCCTACACTCCACCGAAAACCGCCCTACTTAAAATCACTAACAACCTGCTAACCGCCAAAGCTAATGGCCATTACTCAGTCCTCCTGCTCCTCGACCTCTCCGCGGCCTTTGACACAGTCGACCACCCCCTCCTCCTTACAAAACTGCACTCCCTCAGCATCAGGGACGCTGCTCTCTCCTGGTTCTCCTCCTACCTATCCCAACGCTCTTTCAGCGTCACCTATAACACTGCCACCTCCCCCTCTCTCCCCCCTCTCTGTTGGAGTCCCCCAAGGCTCTGTCCTTGGACCCCTCCTCTCCTCCATCTACACCTCCTCCCTTGGCAAACTGATACACTCCCATGGCTTCAACTATCACCTCTATGCCGATGACACACAAATTTACCTCTCCACCCTCCACCTCACCCCCTCACTCTCCGCCTGCATCGCCCACCTCCTGAACGACATATCAGACTGGATGTCGCTCCATTTCCTCAAGTTAAACCTGTCCCCCCCCCCATCCTCTCCATCACGACTAACAACGCCACCATCAATCCCACCCCGCAAGCCAAAGTCCTGGGTGTCACCCTGGACTAAATCCTTTCTTTCCAACCCCATGTCCAATCACTATCAAGGTCATGCAGGCTCCACCTCCGCAACATCTCAAAGATACGTACATTCCTCTCCCCAGACACTACTAAACAACTCATACACTCCCTCATCATCTCACGCCTGGACTACTGCAACTCCCTTCTCACTGGCCTACCCAAACACATGCTATCCCCGCTCCAGACTATCCTGAACTCAGCAGCTAGACTCATCCACCTCACCAACCGCTCCACATCTGTTACCCCCCTCTGCTTATCCCTTCACTGACTTCCGATTGCCCAGCGCATCAAATTCAAATGACTAACTCTGACCTACATAGCCATTCAGAACGCCGCCCCAAACTACCTAACTGACCTGATACCCAAATACCACCCTACCCGTGCCCTTCGCTCCTCACAGGACCTCCTACTCTCTAGCTCCCTGGTCTCCTCCTCCCACGCCCGACTGCAGGACGTCTCCAGGACTTCCTACATCCTCTGGAACTCCCTAACCCAATCCATCAGACTGTCACCTACCCTCCTCACCTTCAGGCGCACCCTGAAAACCCATCTCTTCAGGGAAGCCTGCCCCACCCTCACCTAACAACCAATCTCCTCCACTTCTCCCACCACTCCATCCCCCACAGCCACTTCCTCCTGTACCACTTCCCCTCCCTCCTAGATTGTAAGCTCAAAAGAGCAGGGCCCTCGAACCGCTCATGTATTGTATTGTTACTGTTTTGTCTCATGTTCTGTCCCCTTGCTATTGTACAGTGCTGAGCAAACCACTATGGCGCTATATAAATACTGTATAATAATAATACTATATATCCAAAAGTGTGTGGACACTTGGGCATCACACCTTCTATAGCCAAATGTACACTATACAGCCAAAAGTGTGTGGTAGACCATCACTCTATATTAGCTTGGAAATCCCATTAATATGAAGTTATCCTTTCACTTGCAGATATAACAACCACTCCACATCCACTTGTCTGGGAAGGCTTTCCACAAGATTTTGGAGTGTCTGTGGAAATTGCTAATTTGTGAAGTCAGGTATTAATGTTGGGTGAGAAGACCTGGCTCACCATCAGCGTTCCAGTTCATCTCAAAGGTGTTCAGTAGGGTTGAGGTCAGGTCTCTGTGCAGGACACTTGAGTTTCCCCACACCAAATAAGTCAAACCACGTCTTTATGGAGGTGGATTTGTACACAGGGGCACAATCATGCAGGAACACAAAAGGGTCTTCACTAAAAAACTGTTACCACAAGGATGGAAGAGCACGATTTTCTGTAATGTCTGTATAATGTAGTTTTAACATTACCATAAGAATACCATTCACTGGAAACACCTGAGCTCCAACATTTGGAGGAATGTCCACATACATTTGGTCTTAGAAGAAGGTGTGATGGCCAGGTGTCCACAAACTTTTTGATATATAGTGTATTTCTAACACACAGCACAGGCATACTTAGAATTACACCTCAGAACACATTCTGCCACTGTGGTATGGGCCCTAATTCTTTGTGGCAGTAAAAAGTTTGGGAGAACCACAATCGGGCTCAGGGTAGGATTTCTGCTGCTGCTCCTAATTTTGAGATATGGATTGCGTGCACGCCGGAAAATAATTACACGGACAACTGTCCAGTACAACCACTTTCACATCATCTCATCTCTGTTTATTGCAGGGCAGTGCTTAACCTTTTATACATAGAGAACAATAGAGTATACGTCACTATAACGTATATACAGTCACATTCTGAAAGGCACATTTTGCTTGGTTGAAATATAGGAGAAATGTAGAAACTTGATGCTTGCTTCTCATCCCGTTATCTTTCCACTCCTCCTCACATTCCCAAAGTCTAAGTGAAAACGTCTCAGTGCGAAGGGAGGGGTTGAGAGCATCGCTCTGAGCAAAACAAGTTAAGGAGGACTGCAAAGCCCAGCAGACAAAATATATATATATATATATATACAACACATATATTTAGAAATATAAAAAAGTATAAAAGTAAATATGTATAAAATGTATATTTTAAA